TTGTGTGTTTTATTGGTACTATTAAATTCCATATATTAAGCCACCCTACTAAATAAAGAACAAGAACGAAAATATATATTATCAATTTTATATATTTATTAAAGTTTGTTGATGTAAAAGTAATACAAATTACTCCTTCAATGATAAAACATTGTGTCATATTTGTTTAAAATAAAACAAACAAAATTGAACAATATACAACCACATTATTAAAAACTTTCATTATAATTGTATTTATTTAAATTTATATTATTATTGATACCCAAAAAATAATAACATCAACCTTAAACATTGACAATAAAACCGATTAAAATATACTAAAAACAATAACACAATAATATTATTGACGAGTTGTGTTGTTAAATCAACTATTGCAATTATTATTAAAATAGATATCGCGATAAACAATATAATTTTACACTATAAAATATTTTAATTGAATGTTTATAATATTTTGGTTTTGTTTAAAATGTCCAATTAAAAATGTTGAGTATTTCCAAAAACTTTAAAAATTGATTCATTACAAAAACAACGTGGTTTTAAATTTAGTTTAATAATTGAAGTAAAAATAATAATTATTATTAATAATACGTGACTAAAACTTTAGAAAGTTGTTTTTTATTTAGAAGGCCCCGTAGCACAGTCGGTAGTGCATCGTACTTATAGAATAGAGTTATGCGAGGGTCGCGGGTTCGATCCCCGCCGGGACCATTTTTAATCATCGATATATTAATCTGTCAAAATTCCCAATTCAAACCCCCTCAACATTTAAAGTATAAACAGATAAAAAAGAATTCTCTTAAACAAACACGATATAAAAGTATGTCAATATTAAATAGTATTCAAAATTTAATTAACCAAATTGGTGAATTAATTAATAAAAATGTCCATTATTTATGTTTATAATTATTAAAAACTTGATTACAACTAATTGTGTATCGAGTATTACACGATATAATTCATTAATTTTGCTTTATTAATGATTTATATTATGTGAAATAAGGAGTCTTTATTAATTATTAAAAATAAGAAGCATTTGTGGTCTAAGGGCAGAATTCCACCCTTCCAAGGTGGAGATCCGGGTTCGAGTCCCGGCAAATGCACTTTTTATTATATTTAATAACACAACATTTGATGGGTTTATGTTCTCTTCTTTCAAAATGGTAATAATAAAACGATAACGGCAGGATTTGAACCTACACCTCAAACGAGAAACGATTTCGATTCATATACCTTGGACCACTCGGCCACGTTGTCTTTTTGATATTTATTTTTATCCATTTATTTATAATAATTAATTTTAATGTATTCTTGACTTTTTGGTAATTAAAAGAATAGACAAAAGATGTGATAAAATTGTTCCTCGATTTTTATTTAAATTCTGAATGTTTTTTTGTTATAAAACTTGAGTAGCATAATAAAGTTTAATTTAAATTAAACAACACCAATTTGAGTAAAACAAATTTATTAATATATTTTAATCAAAACAATAAAAATAATTGGAAAAATGAACTTTTTCAATTTAATAATATTGACCCTTCAAAAAATCAACCAAAAACACTTTTTGAATTTTTCTTCTCTTGTGTTAAATGAACATTAAAAAACCCAAATTTTACAAAAATAACACAAAAAATACTACCATAAAACCGATTATCATATTTGTGAAACTTAGTTTAAGTGTTTTTTTGTTTTGATGTATTTTAACATTAAAGAAGTTAATTCTGTATGTAATAAAAATGTTGAGAATACAAGTCTGCCATTGAATGCATTTTAAATATAAATAACAACTTAAAAATAAATTATACTTTTAAAATGTTTGTTCAAAAGTTTTTATCAATAAAAAATGGTGTGCAAAATTAATACAATAAAAAAATGTACTAATGAAACTAAGTGTTTTTTTGAAAAGATAAGGCTTTGATGGTTAAAGAAAAAACACATGTTTGAATTGTATAACGATTTTAATGCTGTTAAGAGGCAAGAAATGTATTGGTAATTTCAAAGTGTGTACAAGTGGAACTAATTGCTTAAGGTGTTTTAATTAAAAAAGTATTAAAACAATAAAACATGTTTAAAATGTGAAGTTAGATTGCATGATGTATAAAACGATAAAAACATGACAAATACAAATTAATAAAAACTTAAATATCACACAAAACAAATATTTTATCATTTGTTTTTAAGGTTTTACAAAATAGATCTATTAACAAAAAGAAAAATAAAACACAAACAAAATACACAACAAAAAACTTTCATTAATAAATAATTTGTATAAAAACATATTATTTTAAAACTTTGTTGTTGTTCTAATATTTGTTTAAATAATTGACTTTTAATTTGCTTTTTGTTTTAAAAATCTTTGTTCAAAACCAACAAAATTAACAACACTTATATTAATTATAACAATAATAAAACAATTCACTTCATAAATGAATAATATGTTTGTAATTAATGATTATTAAAATTGATCAATTTAAATTAATATAGTGTTTATTTATTAATTTATCAAAATATTAGTAAAAAGTTATGATAATTTATGTTAATTATGTAATTAAATTGTTATAGATTAAAAAACGTTCAGTTTTTATGAATGAGAAGAATAATAACGAGTGTAGAGCTTTATGGCAAAAGATCACTGAGATTTGGACCAAAACAGTTATTGACATTGGCTCAGGAAAAAGTTATTTATTACACGAAATGGAAGATTTAGGTCTCGAAGCTATTAGAGTCGAAGGCAAACAAAATTTATTAGACAGAATGGAACAACGCGAAGAAAAAGTTTTTCAAAAATGTTCACAAAAGTCGTCAAAATCAACTCAAAACCCCTTGATAATCATATCCAAAAAACAATTTCTGTGTATTTATTGGCCGATATAACGCCTCAGGAATTTATGACCAAAATTTCGACCGTTACCCCTTCGAATGAACTGTTAATGACGCGTTTTTACACATGCGGGAACTTGATTTCAACACATTTAAGGCTTTCTGTGAAGATTCCAGAGGTGAAGGATCTTGCTGCTGTTGAGTGTTGTTATCACAAGTTGACAGAACGCAACAACTTTAAAAAACACAACACAGCAAGCAAAATACGTTGAGGGGGAAGTCTAAATGTTCTGAGGAGTGTCAAACACCCCCATTTAGATGAAGAATTAAACCGATTTCCGATGAGCAAATTTGTTAGTGAAATTACAGAGAAGGAAGGAAAATAATTTAAGTTGGCACATAACGAATTCTCTACGTTTGCAGACCCTCACCGTCACACAAAAACAATATCTGGAAATGATGAAACAATAATCATCCAAAGCATTTTTCGAATTTGTGATGGAGAAATATAACGGCGCCAAAAAGACCACCCCACAGAAAAAACTGTGAACAAAATATTTTAAACTTTTTTTAAAAGTGCACTTGTTAACATTAAAAAGAGAAAAACATTTAAATGGAATACAGAAAACTACGCTAAACAATTTGAAGCATTATGTGACCATTTTGTGTCATCTATAAAGTTCAATGCGATGTATAATGAGAGCGCTGTTGGAGATATTCTAATCGAAAGTTTATTTAATATAATAATATAATAACAATTAAGTTATATATTATTAAATAAAACTACAATTGATAATTTAATTTACTATTACGGAAGAAGAAAGGTATTATAAACAAAGATATTCATTATTTAGTAAATATGACAAAGGAAGACTAATGGATAGAGAGGCATGGTACTCAATGACACCAGAAGACATCGCGAGGAATGAAGCAATGAGTCTACACTTCACTCATTTTTAAAGGAGAAGAATTAAAGTGTTAGATTTGTTCTGTTGTGTAGAGGGGTACTTGATACAACACGCCGCACAGAACTTTTCCGTGACTGTTGTTGATATTGATAAAATGAAGTTTGAGATGCTCAAGCACAATGCTGAGATCTATGAAGTTGAGAAGAGATAAATTGTGTCTGTGAAGATGCATTTGAGTTTGTCGAAGAGATGAACATACGGGAATATGATGTGATTATCATATCGCGGCCTTGGGTTTGTTATTTAAAGATATTATTACTTACTCATTTTATGTGTTCTCTGAATAATTTTTATATAAGTAATTAAAAGGGCAGGCCTGGTGCTTTTAGAAACAAACAAAGTCTCAATTCGTTGTTCCCTGGATTGAAGAATCTCTTCTGTGAATGCGTGGAAAAGTGCACAAATGTGATACTTCACGTCCCAAGACAAATGGAACCGGAAAATATCACAAGAGAATTCAATTTTCCGATCGAAGTTGTTACTTATGCACTCGGGGAATAAGATGTCATGCAATCGTTTATTATTGGTCATTGATTATATCATAATTCATTCCTTTGTGTTTTTAAGAGTACAAACTTCGGTTAAATCATTTGAAATCGCTCAAATTTGTATATTAAAGTGTATTTTAATTGAATATTTTTAAAGTAATTTATAAGTGTTGTTTTTTCAAGAAATTATCAAATTTATACATTTTTGACATTTATTAATGTACAAATAATTGATAATTTGATTATTTTGAGTTAAAAATACATATTTTGAGTAAAAAGTATATTGTTCAACAACAAAAATACTTGTTTTCAGTGTTGTTTTTTCTGTTAAAAACACCAAAAAATATATAAAATAAGAATTTGATCAAAAGGTATTCATTATAAAGGAAATAAGGTCTATTTTAATAGACATTTCTAATTTATACTTTTCTTATTTATGGAGTGAAAAATATAAAAATACTAAATATTAATCAATCATTAGTACCAAATTGCTGAGATGTCAAAGCATGATATTTTTTTTCATTTTCATTGACTTTTCACGTGTTCATCTCAGCAATTTTACCACAAATAACAACGCATATTTCAAACATCTGACTTCTTCTATCACCAACAATTTTATTATATCCTTCAGGAAGTGCACCAATAAAGTCGTGTGTATTAGCCATTTTGCTTATTTCAATGATCTTTTCCATAGATACTTCGTCAAAACTTCCTCGTCTAATATTGTCCAATATCGATTCACTTAACAACATGGGCTCTTGTCCGACCATCCCATTACGTTCTCTTAATTAATAAAATGGAAGTGTTTTAATATCTTTATCATCAATTTTCAATTGATCCGAAAATTGTGTCATACAATCTCTCTAACGAATTTCTTTTATCAAAGTACTCGACATTTCGATGTTACAATTTTGAATATAACGTCATTTTCATTCGATTATCCAACTTCTCTTTTGATGATAATGACAGTCAACAAAAACAGCAAATAGTAAATTACAATACAATAAAATATTATTTCCAACAATTTGTCATAGAAATTTTGGAGCAACATACTGTATGTTGGAGTCGTCGGGTTGAATTATAGCAAATAGGCCAACGCATCGATATACTCAACATTAAAACTGCATCACAAGACCTCCACCAAGAGCACTCAACTTATCAATGGTAAATGCAATTGGGTCTTTCTAATTGTTTTCAATCACCACTTTAAACAGTGAAAATCAATTTGATTTTCAGTGTTTTTTGTTATCTTTTCAATTCTCTCTTGGTTGATTCGTGTGTTTTCTTCATCTATTACTTCACTATTTTCATTGTTTTCTTCATCAGTGGCATTTTTAATATCATCAGAAATAGGAGATTCTTCAATTTTGTTGTTTTTTAATTTCATTAATTGTTTCACATTTTGATCAACCTAATCTTGATCCGCCTCGTCTTCGAAAGACTGTTGTTTGATTTAGTCTTTAGTAGTCCCTTTTATATCCATTAACTCGCTATGTGTCCCTTTCTCTAATATTTCGCCTTGATAAAACACACAAATCAAAATTGCATTTCTCACTATTAAAAATAGATGTGCGACTATTATTGTTGTCCTTCCTTTTCCAGCCTTTTCTAATACACTTTGAACAACTTTATCATTTCGTTTGTCGAGTGCACTTTACTAGCCTCATCCAACAGTAAAGTTTGTGGATTCTTTATTAAAACTCTTGCAAGAGTGCTATTGCAAATAGAAATAAGAATGTTATCTTTAATAGAGCAATAAAATGAGACAGGTACTAGGCGAACTATCCCAATTTGGCTTCTTTACCAGTTGACATCCAATTCATATATTTTGGTATTATCTGTTTTTATCGACCCGCCACTGATTTCATACATTCGTTGAATCAACTGTATTATTGTTCTTTTCCCACAGCCAAACTCTCCAAACAGAGATACTGTCTTTTTTTTCAATTGTCAAATCAAGTCCATTTAAAATGGTCTTCTTTGATCGACTTGGGTAAATGACTTGGACATCTTCAAACACAATTTCTTTATCACACTTTCGGGGTTTTCCCTGAATTGTCTTTAGTGTCAATATTTGGTATTCTATCAATAGTATTGTAAATTCGAAATGCAGCTGTTTTTTCCTTAGAAAGAAACTCAAGTGGTGTTCCAATAGTTGGCAACATTTGCATCACATTTTAATAAAAAACAAATTTTGAATAACCAAATTTATATTATAAAACTATTATTGTTATTATTTTTGATTAAAATTAGAAAAGAACCATTTTATAACAATATAAATTTAATGATTATATTAGTAAATCGTCCAAATTCGATTAAAATAACATATAAATGATATTTTTAGTTGTTTTTGCTTTAAAAATGTTGTATTTTTAAATATAAAACATTTATTATTACATCTAAATGTTGGGTCCATGGAATTCTTCAATTTAATTGTTTTTTGAATTATGACTTTTGTCAAAACTCAAACATGAGTATTAAAACTCCAATTTTAATATAAAAAACAAATGGTGAAACTTGAACCAATTTATTTAGCGAATGTTGTTCTCTATTTGGATAGTACAACAACGTTTCGAAACTTCACAAAAATCTCCAAACAAACGATTATAGCAATTTCCATGCTACATATAAACCCCCTCAAAGTACTTCGCTATATCCCATTTCTACTCCATTATATCCCAAATCTAGAAACTTATGAAGGGAACCTAATGGAAGCTCAAAATGAAATTACGAAGGATTTATTTGATCAAATAAGTTGGATTGATGGGTCTAAATTTCTATTCCAAATGCATTTTTTGAAAGAAGAATTTGCCTGGAAAATAAGTGCTTTAAAAATAAATCCAAGTGATTTGACAAATTTGTGTCAACTTCGTCAAATACGAAAAGTTGTGTTTCAAGGAACAATAGATTTTGGTCAACTTGAGAAAATTATTGAAAAGTATAAATTGATGACTCTCAAAAATGTTATTGTTTATTTGGAAGACATCACAGAACTTTATTTAGAAAAATGCATTGAATTTTGTGCGAAAAACAAAGAAATTTTTGTTGGGATTGCAGCTAAAAGATCTGCTATAAGCAAAGAGGCTTTTGAGAGAAAAGTAGTTCGCAATTTGAAATGTGTACTTTTCGACTTTGACAAGAAAATTGAAATCTACAACTCGCCAGTTTTAATAAGCAAACCCGAAAATATAAAATTGAAATATGATGTTTTGGATTCAAATGTTTTGGCACAAATTGAAAATGAAACCAAAAATAAAAATATTGAAACTCTCCACGTGGATGTCGCTCTTAATAGTATGGACAATATTTCTTTATTTGATATCAAAGCAAAGAGATTTGAACTTTCTGTGACAAGTGGAAAATCACTGAAATTCACAAATTGTAAATCACCATCTGACATTTGTGTAACAACAATAAATTGTCCAATAAACCTCAACTCCCTTCTCTCAATAAAGTCGCTTGAACGAGTCGAGGTGAAAGGAAATTACGTATTAGAGAAAACAACAAAGGAACACTTTTTGGTGCAATTTCCACACCCTCTTAAAAGTTTTGTTTTTCATACAAAATTTCCACCAAACACAAATTTGGACTATTCAAATAGTTTCAAAACTCTTCAAAAAATCGAGTTGATAACTCCAAAAGAAGAAATTGATTTGTGTAATTGTTGTGAATTAAAAGAAATTGGCATAACAAGTATTTCAAAGACAAAGTGTGTATTAACTCTTCCATATACAAAATACACAACTCCAATTTATAGATATAAACATGAGTGGTTATATGGAAGTTTTAAAAAGACTCTTTTCTTTAAATCAGAAACTGCAAAACTTGAAGTTACAAATGTTGGATTTTTCACAGAAATTGACATTGAAGGGAATATTGATAAATTGGATATGAGGGAATGTGCCAACTGTCAAAAGCTCAGACTTCTGTCGACTGCAAAAGAGACTGTTGTGATGCCACCTACTTGTTACAACTATCGTTCATTGTTTATATGTTCTGATAATTATCCATACATATTATTTAATAATAGACTGAATTATATTTATGTAGCAAAAAACTTAGAAATATGTGGGAATGTCAAATTTAATTGTAAAATTGGTGTTGAGGAAATCGCATTTTGCGTCGATGAAGACACAAACCTGTTGATTGATTCGGTGTTTATTGAACAAATCACTCTTTTGGGCCTGAGAAGACGTCGAATCACAGAAAGGTACACCAAAAATGTAGAAACAAATAAACAACTTTCAGATGAAGTTTTTGAAGTTGCAAAAAATAACACAAACATACGAATCGGGAAGTACAAGACTGCGATTACCAAGAAAACAAGTGATTTGAACTTATATGCTACTTTACTAAGAAAGAAAAGCAAAGACAGTGTTTCTGTTAAACCACAAAAAGACCACAAAAATAAAACAATACAAATTACAAAGAGTTCGCACATTCAAGAACTTCTTGACGATGAAAATTATGAAGATGACTTCGATGACTTTGAAGATGAAGATGACAAAGACATCAAATCTAATTAATTGAGTTGTTATTTATTATTTAAACTTACAAAGAAGCAATAAAAAGTTTTGAATGACTCAATGTTTAACTAAATGGTCGGAAACACCCTCTGGCGATAGTTTCATGGTGTCTTTTCCTGGCTTCCAGTTGAGTGGGCAGGATTCACCATGTTAATCAAAAAAATTGATGGTTTCAATGATTCTCTTTGTTTCCTCAGTGTTTCTTCCGATGACATTGACTTGCATATATCTGATGATACTCTTTGGATCGATAACGACATAACCTCGTTTTGCAATGCCATCAACTGCGTTAAACAAGTTGTACTTCATAGAAATGCACTTCTTGATATCAAAGACTGGTGTATTATATTTCAAATCGCTTATCAGATGTTGATTGAATGGTACAAACAGGTCTTCCAAAATACATTTCAATAAACGTGTTCAAGTCTATGAATTTGTTTTTTCCGCGTCGAAACTTTTGACTAACTTCCCAATTAATTTTGCCGCGCAGACTCTTTCAAATTGAAACACAAACTCAAATAAAAAATGCCATCCATCGAGTTTTCTTAATAAACGATCTTCTCGATGTTTTTGCTCTTCATTTCCTCCAATGAATAGTCCAGTTTTCTTTTTGATAAATTTTTAAGTTGCAGTTTTGGAATAGTTTTCTTCTGTGCCTCTGAGTTTTTTTTCTTTTGTTTTTTTATTTCTTTAATTTTTTTACAACTTTCTTGATCTCTTCTTGAGTCAATTTCTTTGCCACTTCCAAATGTCTTTTCTTTTCCTCTTCATTTAATTTTGTCATAAACGTTTTACTTGGCGCTCACTTCACAAAAACGCGATTTGTGTTTTTCAAAAAGTACTTTTTAATGATCTTCCCAAAGTAATTTTTGTTCTCCTCAACCACCTCTTTTTAAATATGTTCGACAGCCTTGTTAATTTTGGACTTCCAAAACATGTCTTTTTTCTCTTAAACAAATCCAACGGTCGTTTTCATCGCGAGTAACACCCCTTTTGGGAAACTGCCACACTCAGACTCCCTTTCTTCAAACTCAAACGTGTTTATCGCGGACATCTCTTTTTCTCTCCCAATTCTGTTTCTACCAAACTCTTAAAACTCCTCGAGGAGAACCTTTTGGAATTCAGCACAGTTGTTTCAATTTGCGTTCTTCGCAAATATCACAAAGTAGGGATTTTTAAAATCGGAGTCGTAACTAATGACTCTCGACTTTGCAATACTCAGTTTAGTCAGTTTATCAAAAACTTATTTCCTACATCTCTTTTGTATCAAGTCGAGTGCAAAACTTGTCTCATAGTCAATCTCCCCGAGTTCCCAATCAAACACACGTCTCGTTGTTCTCCACGTTGTCTTCTTCTCCAATTGGGTATTCTAAATAGAGACACTCTCTTTTTGAAGTTGGTTCTCCCATTATGATATGTGGAGTGTATTCTCCACGTGTTTTCTTTTCTGTGAAAACAATTAAAGTATAGTAATGGTCGAGTATCTCAAATTCTCCAGCAATAAGACATTGGGGGAATATAAAACTGTCACGGAATTCGAAGGAGTGTAATGATTGTTGTAAAATTCTTGTAATTCGGTGTATAAAAGTGTCTCTATTTCTGAAGGAACACCACAAGAGACATTATAGTATGTCTCGGTGTATAACTCATGACAGATAGCACGCGTACAAATGATGTTTGGATCCGTCTCAGAGTTTATCATCTCGTTGAAGACAACACCGTTAGTGGTAAATTGAAGTTTGTCATTTGAATTTGTGTTTCAGCACTATTAGGTTCTGGACACTTCCCACAACACTTGTGGAGCGTAAAAGTGTCCACTCTCATCTTGCATTTCAGCAACTTCCTCTCATCTCCAGCCTTCTTATTCGAATGGGAATTTGTCCTTTCTCATTCGTAAGAGGAACACGGCGTCCAAATATAATTTCATCAAAATTTCATAATCGACTTTGTTAATTACAGAAAGGGGGTAGCACATAGTCCAGTCTGCGCGGTGAATGCATTCAAAAAGTTTTGGTAATTCACTTGCAAGAAATCAGCATAAGGCTCTTCGGTGGTGTTATTGTCACCGCCACATAGTACAAAGTGTTCGATGATATGAATGATATTTTTGTCGTTGATAGCTGGTGTTAAAAAAGATATAGAAAAAATCATGTTTGGGTCAGACGAGATAAATTTCAAAATTGTCGCCTTTGTTGCCATGTGTTGATAAACTCTAATGTCCACATTAAAGTTTTTCAATAGAACATTATCTCAGTGATAATTAGTATAAGAAAAAACCAACAATACAAGTATTAATACAAAACATTTTAATAAAATTGAATTTATTATGTATAAAACTATTAAATGGTTTAGTGATCAAAATGACGACACTAAAAACCACAATTTAGTGATAAAAACCCGATCACAAATTATTGATATGGTTCTTTAATTTATTAAATATATCTTTATTAAAGAAATAGTTACTTCGATATGTGACTTAAATCGCTTTCAAAAAATCGAATTATATTGTATATAATAGTTTCTTTTTTGATTGGTTGATTATCACCTTTGTTTACCAAAAACATTTAAAAAGTGATTATAAATATCAAAGTATTTTACAAAAACATTACAGTTACCTTATTATAAAATAAATAAACTCAAATTTAAACATTATGCCAAGGAGACAAACACATCAAACTGAGCCACATGGAATTGTTGAACAAGAAATAGAAGATGAAGAGGCGGAAACACAAGCTGTAATCCAAACTCCTGAAGCACGATCACTTTCAAGACAAATATTTTTTTTACAAATATTTACTTGAACGTTATGGTGGATTTGAAAGTCTTTTTGAGTTTTTGAGACTTAAGCCACTTGTTTTTCTTGTATTACAACCAGTTGTTGGAAATATTTATCCAGATAAAAGAGAACGCAAATCATTTTCAACAACCCAACGACAGACTTCTTTTGTTATACTTATTTTGTCGATATAATAATTTGAAAATGATAAGAGATATGTGTATTCCATATATCAGAACTAACGAACAAATAAGCAGAGAAATCGATTTAAGTGTTTCTTTATTTAGAGTACCACTTCAAAATGCATGTATAGCATTCAGAAAAGAAAATTTGTTAAATACTGGTGCAAGTTCAATTGATGATTGTACAGTGACACCAACAAGACGTCCAAATGGCGATTTTGCTTTAGCAATAGGGTTTTATAATTGAAAATACAAAATGTATTGTGTCAAAGTCGAAGTGATTGTGAATGCAAAAAGTGGTACTGCAAGTTTTGTTTCAAAAGCAGTTCAGGGTGCAGATCATGATATGAGTATTTAAAAAAATACATCTGAAACAATCAATAATATGTTGGGAACAACAAAAATAATAAGTGTTAAGGAATATAAAGGATTTGATTTATACATACCAACTGGTTCAGTTTCAAAAGAAAGTCCTTTAAAAGAGAAAAGGTGTTTGATTGAAAGATATTTTGGTCGACTTAAAATGGTGTTTAAATTTACAAGAGAAAAATATTTAAAAGACCCTGTTTCTTTTGACAACCTTTTTGTTATAAGTTGTTGCTTTTGCAATGAAGACGTTGAAATTAATCCCCCTCGAAAAACAAGATGCAACAAACTATATGAATATAATGACCAATTATTTGAATAAAATTGAAAAAAGAAGAGAAGCACATAAGAAAAGTAGTTTAATATACAGAAGACGACAAAGGGAACAATTTGATGTTTTAGAAAACGAACTTAGATTAATACAAGAAGAAGAAAGTCAAAATTCAGACGAAACAGAAATTGAACACTTTGATTACAACAAATTTGTTTATTCGTTTTAAATAAAAATAAAAAACAATAATTTTTGTTTATAAAATATGTTTGAAAAGGGCTAAACTTCTGGGCATAAAACGTGATCTCACTATAGCATTAAAAAACAAACAAAAATCGATAAAGTCGAGGTTTTATCATTATGATTGGACTTGTACTGTATTTCCCGAAAATTGAGAATAACCACAATTTAATTATTTTTAAACAACTTTAACATAAAAACTATAACATAATGATAAAAATCGCATTTTATTACAGTAAACTATAATTAAAAATGATATTAAATCACAAAGACATTACTGTGATTTATATCTTTACTAATTGTTATAAACAATAACAATGTACTTTTACTACAAATAAACAACTTAATTATAATGTTATTGACTTGAGTAATGTTTATCAAATCACTTAGATAATGTTCTAATGGTTCTGAATAAACCAATGCACTGTCTATTTGTTTCTAACTAGTTTGAAGTGTTAAAATTATGGTTTTATGACCTTTTTAATAACAATAATAGATTTTGAAAATTTTGTTATTGTTTGACAAATTTCAATTTTTTTAATTTCATTCTGAAATTTTTAATTAATTTTAGAACTGTTTTAAATAACTAAAAATTATAGTTTTTAATTTATATTAAAATGTTTTATTTCTATATAAAATTTTATAAACAATATAACAACTATAATTATAATAATTATTTTATCAAACTAATAAAAATTTTAGTTTTGATAATAATTATATAAAAGGTAAAGTTCTCAATTATTTACAATAAAAATATGTAAATATAAACACATTCGAATCAATAACAATAAATACATAATAATATTGAAACTAATATTGTAAATAAATAACTACAAAATCGAAATTGGAAGAAATGGGAAAATACAATGATTACTGATGAAAGTAAGTTTGGGATGTTCCCAGACAGCACCCACTGTTGGAGACCAAAGAACTTTCTGGCTAAACGACGAAAATTCAACAAGAACAGGAAAAGACAAAAATATCCAATTTATTACAAAAAACTCTTTTCAATCACCCCAAAATTCAACATGACGATTATAATGTGTGTGCTATATGAATAGTGTATAAAAAACTCCTTTGGTGTCCAGACAGTATGAATTCCAATGGTTATATAAACCTCCTATAATCCAACAGATTTTTTGAAAATGTTCAAAAACAAAAACAGAACAGTCTTTTTCCAACAAGATGGGGCATCTCCTCATTGGGCCGAGAAGACAGAATTTTATATAAAGAACAAAAGAGTTTGACTACTTTTATGACCTGTTGCATCTCCCGAATTTTCTCCAGTTGAACATTAATGGGGATTATAAATATAATACTTTGATAAAAATACCTCATCATATGGACAGAAAAAAAGTTATTTTATCTTTTTCAGAAAACTTGGAATGAAATTTCTTCAAAAACGAACTACAATTTGATGAACTCTCATTAAATAATGTATTAGCCATGTCTCGAAGAAAGTGTTGGTCCTATTGGCCATTTATTTATATTAAACTATTACAGTAGGCGGAAATAAGGGGATGCTAGAAAAAGGAGGATTCTCGCAACCATTGGTTATTTTTCAAACAAAAAAATAAATGTCCAACAAATGTATATTCTTAACACTTCTAAAAGATTAATTGATTTACTGTATTTTTATTTTTATAACAGAAAATAAAACCACATCATTTTTTGTTGAACAATCGACTATTCATATCTTTAATTTTGATTAATTCTTCTTTATTAATTTTTAAATGAATATTATCGTTAATTTGACGAATAAAGACTCCATCAAGACGTTATAAGTTATATGTTTAATGTTCATTTTCAAACAAACATAACCATAAACACAACGAATAGATAATTATGTGCATTTAGATAAGCAGTCATAAAAACTATCAGTTGTATTGCTAAATTAAAATAAATTAAAATAAAACAAGTTTAAACAATTATTTAGCCTGTTGTCAACACACAACACCATTTCCACGATGGAAATAGTGTGAATTTATTTGGAATAATTTGGAGAAGTAATCTTGGACATCAACTTATCTTTTAAACCTATACTGCCTCTTCCAAACAAATAATATTTTATATATTTGTAGAAGTGTTAATTGAATTTGCTAACTTCCATCGTTCTCATGAAATACTATCATTTTCCTCCACTTTCTCTGTTCTGTGTGTTAGTTGATGTGGATGTGTAATTGAAAATATATTTCATAAGTAAAATAGACACCAACTCTTAAATGGTTACTTTAAAAGTACAAACCGGTGATATTGTTGTTCTATTGAATTAATAATAGTTCTGAGTTTCAACTTCATTTATTAGTTTTATAAAACATTAAAATAAAATATAGTTTATGTTTAGTTTTAATTCAAGACCCACATCCCAGTTTTATTACTATTTATATAATTACTATAAATTTTAACATTAATAATTATTCAAATAATTAATAAAATGAAAAACACCAAAATAAATTTATATTTAGATTAGCATCCGCCTTTTTCTCAGCATCCCACTTTTTCCCTTGACTGTACCGAAAACTGGAGAATTCAAGTTTGTAAAAATAACATTTAGGGTATTTTAGCTTTATAACAAATTGATTTTATGTTTAATTTGGTTGGTTTAAGTATAAAAAATATAATTTAGTGGCGTATTTAAAAATAGAAAAGTTTTTATTTTTAATAAAAATATACAGATTGAAAAAAAATGTACATTATTGATTAAACGTAAACGGTTTATATTCATTTATTCAAATTAATTAATGTTGTATAATATAAATAACAATATATATTATTTGTAAAATCAAATATACTAAAATACACAAATGAACCAAGAAAAACGACTTAACAGACGTATGAAAGAATTTGCTACAAATTTGACCATTAAAGCGTTTTAAATAGGTTAAGTGACACTAACCTTTAACAAGTTTATTATTGTGTTTTGTGTGATAAAATTTTAAGTTATAAAGCACATGAAAATCACCTTTTACAATATTCAACAAAACATAATATTTTCAGAAAAAACGGAAATAGTTCGCAACTCAAAAGAGTTTTTTTCGGTTAAAATTATCCAAAACTTGAATACTTTGCATTAAGACGTTTACAATACGAAGCAGACCTAGAACAATCAATTGCAGCATTTATTGCAGCAATTTTTCGAAAATGAAATTGAAGAACATATTAGTCTAATTGGTGTCAATAAAGAGGATGAAGATGAAATTGAGAACACTCTTTTTTGAACTTAGAGATATTGATAATAATTTACATTTGATGAGAATGAATATGGTTCCAGTTGAAGAATCAATAGAGATTATCGATTATAATCAAAATGATTCAATTGAATTATCCATTCCAACAAGTCAATATGATGACAAAAGAGGCGATAATCTTCCCGAATTGCCAAATAACAATCAGACATCAGATGAAGTGAATTTAACTGTCAACGATGTACAAAAAATAATTGTTGATTCAAATTTTAACATATTACATTCACAACCTTATACAACACACCAAAGTACATCAACAAAAGAAACGATTCAACATAAAAACAACAGAGAAGAGTTGGAACGATTTAATTTTATCACTAATGTTCTTGATAATTCGAAGATGAATAATTTGGGTAATGAACAAGTATCAAGTGAAATTATTCGAAACATTCAATTATCATTGGGTAAAACGTAGAATAAATTACAACGACCATTAAAGGTGGTAAAGAAAGACAAAAGTATTTTATTACATTAGCATCGATGTATTGTGGGTTTATGAATCTATCAGAAACCCAAATCGAATTGTTGTTGGAATTTGTAGAAATTGTCATGAATATTCGCGATGTTGGTATGATGAAATTTGCTGTGAATTGTTGTGCAAGAACGGTTGAAAACCACATGAAGACATTTCGAGAAGTTTCCATTAGAGAAATAGAACCGTTGATTAACACACAAAGTGAATATCATTTGATGGCCGATTCTTCAAAGACTGGGACAGACGAACACTATTCATTGTTTGTGAGATTTATTGGAAAAGATGAATCTCCAAAAGAAAAAAATTTTCAATCCGTTCTTTTTATGGAAAACACGATGCAGCTGGTTGGGATGAATGGATAATGGAATGTCTTTCAGATGTTGGTCTCGATATCAATAATTGTCGTGGTTTGACAGTATATGGAGCAACCACTATGAAATCGGAACTAAATGGTCTTTCTGGAAAACTTATTGCACATTTGGATACTGAAAAACAGTCAAGTTTTAAGTCCAATTATTGTTTTAACCACAGGCTCGATATCGCTCTTGAAGACTCTTTTAAATCTAATGAAGGTCTTTTGATCAAAGAATTTCTTGAAAAATTGACACAAGACCATCTGAGAACGGGCTGGACCAACTATATACATCAAAACAAAATTGATGATGTGTTGCTCAAGATGCCGTCGTTTAGCAACACACGTTTCAATTTTGTGGCTTCTGTATCATCAGTTTTATTTGAATGCTTTGACATGTATAGTAATTATCTTGAATTGGAAAGATTTGAAATGAAAATTACTGAAAAGGTCAAAGAAAACAAACTGGGTGTTCCAAAATTGTCTAATAATCTTTTTGTGGGTGCGTTGTTCTTCTGTGAAATGATGTTTTCAAAATTCAGAGTCATCAGCGAATGGTTGCAAAGTGTTGATTTGGAGTTTCTGGTCGCTTTACAAAGAATATTTGATCTGATCAAACATTTGTTTGAAACTCGAAGTTTTATTGACACAGAGGAGTTTGAACAATTACCTTTTATTAGAGAAGTTAAAAATTTAGATCAAATGAAGAATCTTAAAGAAGTGTGTTTGTCAATAACAGAAAATTTTCTAAAGTCGTTAATTTTCCGTTTCAGTGATCCTCTAAACAAAGTCACGACTGTCATGCCAAATGATAACGATTCAACACAAACAAAAGTTAGTCAACGTGATTTCAAATTGACACATTTTGGACACTTTGAACAGTTGTACGAACGAAATGATTTTGATTTAAAAACTGACATATCGTTGAATTTGATTCCTAACAATATAGAGCGTCCGAGGTATTACCGGTATAACTCTGAGCAAGAAAAGGAAATCAAGGAATTTGAACATATTATCAAATTGAAACTAGAGTTTGAAAGTGTAAGGAATAAACAAAAAATGGTACTTTATCTCAGATTCAACTCCCAAAAATTAAAATGTCCAAAGATCTTAAATCTATCGTAGAAAACTTTCATTCAACAAGCCATTATGAAGTCAATTCCATGGAAGAAGAAACTGATAACGCATCAACAATGAGTGATGTTGATCAAATTTTAAAATTGAAAAAAATATGTATATTAAAAAGTCGTGTTGAATACAGACAGTGGAAAGAAGAAATGTTGAACTTATTTAATAAAGAATGTCCAATTGTATTTATGAATACATTCTTCTTTTGGAAATTGCTCAATGACCAAGAAAAAAAGACGTTTTCCATTAATTCGAGAAGCTATGAGAAAAATGAAGTTGATCGAAGTCACTTCATGCAGTGTTGAACGTTCTTTCTCTTTTTTGAAATCAATATTGAGACCGAATATGCGTTCTGAAAAAATTGAAGAAAGAATTGATGCTAAAATTCTTTTAAATCTTATTTATAAGAATAATTAATTTATTTCGTTTGACAATGTTACTGGTTTTAAATATCATTACAATTGAATTGTCTGTTTTTATAAAAAACTTTAATATTAATTTCAATATTAGAGTCTAATTAAATAAAAACAATTGAAAATATATTTAATTATATAACATGGTAATAAAACATGAATGATATTTATATCAATAATATGACATGATAAATATAACATTTCAAAATTTCTTCAATTGCAAATATAATATAACTCCCAGAAGGAAAAGGTTTCTTTATTTTTGTTCTCAAAATAATTTGAGCTTTTATTACAAAGCCTAAAAATAATTATTCTTTGTATAGCGGGTTACAGTCTTTATGGCAACAATCAACCTTTCTTAATAACCCATGCAACACAAATCGTTCTTTTGAGATATTTAGTTGTATTTCCTTTTGTTGAGTTTTTAATATTATTGTTGAATATAATACTCAGAGCAGTATTTCCTAATTAAAATAATTAACTTAAATAAATCAAACAAGTTTAATCGACTTTACTACACTAAACAAAAACGAAAATTGTTAAATAGTGCTACAGAATAAAACAACACGAACGTTTTTAAAATGCAATGATCCATGTTTAAAATGTTTGTACTTGACATTAAAAACACAACTTAACATATAAATCACAACTTAACATTTGTTTTGTTTATACAATTAAAAATTTAATTGTTAAAAAATATAAAATAAGATATAAATTTTTAATTTTAATTTCAGTATTAATATTAATATTTTTAACTATCATAATTTAACTGATATAACCCATTGTTTATTATTATTATTATTATTAGGTTTTAAACTATTTGTAAAATTATTTAAGTTTAACTATATCATTTAAATCAAAGTTGACTTGTGTTAATGTATTTGAAATATATATACATATATTATTATTAAATTGGTTATGTCTTCAATTGTGTTGATAACTATGTTATGTGAATAGTTATAAATTGAGAAAAAAATTGTTCTAAAAACGAATATATTTTATTAAATTAAAACAACACAATTAATTGATATATCAATATAATGATAAACATTTAAACTATTAATTCACAATATCAATCATTTATAATTTTGTATAAATTATATATTAATATTTGTTGACTTTTACAACAATTTAAGTGAAGTTTTTGTCATTATCATTTTGAGTACAATATTTTTGAATATCGAATTTTAGTGGTCAAAACAATAAAGTGTGGTTGGTCTTTTATAACATATCATTGTTTTTAAAAATATCACAATCGTTTTAAGGTTTATAGTTTCCCGAATTAATTTTGTTGTTAAAATTTTGACTAAATCTAACACACATCAAAGTTGACTATAATAAGGTTGATAATATTATTGTGTTATTTAACTTTTACTAATATCCATCTCTGCCTCAGTAAACGAGAAAGTAAATAACAATAACAGTTTTTAATTCTTTTTAATTTAAAATATATCAAATTATATGAAAATGAATAAAATTATTTGTAGATTTTTTTTAAATAAATATTATTTAATTGTTTTACTTTCAATTGTTTGTATTTAATCATTCGTATTTATTTATTTGTTTAAATTTAATAATATTTAATAATATTGTTTATTTTTATTAAAAAATATTGATTTTATGTTTTTCAATCAATGATTAGTTCAAATTATTTTATGGCATTCATTATATCTGTACATCGAAGTCTCATCAACGCTATTATCAATAATAGAAATTAATGTATTATTAAATTTTTAAAATCTAAGAGGATAAATTTGGTATAGGTTACCAGAATTGTATAATTAAAAAATAATAAAATTGTGTTCTTATCAATATCCAGTGTTATTTGTATTTTAAAGATTATTAATAAAAAAAGAATATAAACAAAAATAACAAGTCAAAAACCAATGATTTCATATTAATATCTTGGCCAGTTCTTCCCTGAAAGTCAGTGCTTCATCATTTTTAAAAAGATTTTTAATATCTTTAATGGACTGTGGATTACTTCGAACAATGCAATCAACGAAGTACAACATGTAAACTCCACAGTCCACATTGTTAGTCTGTTCGGGAACTTTGATAGTTGTAACGGGATATCTCCCCCTCGAATTAAAAGACACTCTCAGTTGCCTTTGGATTGTTTCTACAACCTTGGTATCGGGAAGACCTCCACAACTGTCAAGATACAATAGTCTGGAAATGGAGGTCTTTCCAATACCCTTAATTTTTACACTCGTTAGAATGTAAAGAGTCCAGTGAGCCCCCTCTACCTCCAAGTCGTTGTATGGCAAGAACACATAATTGAAAATTTTCCATTCGGGTTTTAACCACCCCTTGGGATTGGGGCAACCACTCATCATCCCCGTTAATACTTGTGGATCAACCAACACCCAATTTTTGTAAATTGAATACTTTTTAAGGTATTCACCAAACATAAAAATGGCCTCATCTTTAATCTTGCCACGAAGCACCCCCTCCCGTTCATCTGCTGATAGTCGGGGCCTTAACAACGTTTCCTTCTTTTCCTTTTTGCTCGGGTCTGCCTTTTTAACAAATTTGTCTTCTGCGATACTTCGCAGACCTTTTCCTGTGACACATTCAGAATCAGTATCCGTGTCAGACAATGAAATTTAGAGGGGGATCATTCCATCGGTGCATTCAGTTCAAAAGGTATATTCAAATGCACCGCCCCCTGATAAAGCTGGTAAAATTCGTCCCATGCTTCAGCCCGTTTCTTTAATTCTTTCAGACGAGAAAGCTCGTGACACTTTTTTCCAATTTTTTTTACTTTTTCTTCTTCTTCTTTCAATTCTTTCAATGGGTCCATTAATTATAAACTAAAGATAATAAACCAAAAAATATAATATAAAATCAAATAAAAAAATAACAAAATTCACATTTCTTTTTTGACTGATTCGATATCGAGCTCTAAAGGAAATTTTGACAACTTTGTTTCTTTAATAAGTTTGGTAAATTTGCTAATTTTAATTTTAGTGGCTTCTTCTTCATTTTTAAAACATTTGGCATAGGGTTTTGGCTTTAATTGCTGGACAACCATAAACCTCCGCCACAAACCTCTTACCATTGTTCCCACTTTGATTCGATCTAAAATCAGAAAGAGCGCAATCTTTAGCAGCTCTCATTATTGACTCATAATTCCCAATTATTTTACACGACTCAACAAATTTGTTTAAAATATGCAAAAATATTGTTAAACGGTTGTGAGATATTGATATTATGTATACCAATGGCTTTTCAAAATTAATTAACAACAACTTTTTCTCCAACTCCTTTCTTCTTTCTTTCAATTTTTTAACACGAAAATTTAACACCCCGTTCATTAAATAAAATAGTTTTACTTTAAAATTGTTTTGTAAATTAAATTTATATATAATTACACATTAAAAAAGATAACCAAAATAATTATTTTTTATTTTATAATTAATTGAATATTTTTGTGTATGTGTTTTTAATAATATTTAATAAATTTTAAAATTAAATTAAAATTATAGTTTTTAATTTTTGAAACAAAACAATTTGTGTTGATATTATCAATTTTAAATAAATAACAAATTATTGACAAAAGTTTTTTCAATGATAATAAATGAATATACGATTATCCAATTTTATTTAAATAAAATATGGAAATACATTGTCCAAATTTCAAAAGATATATCATCATAATATTATTCAAAACAATTGTTTGAATTGTTGTTTAGTTGCATTGTTGCTATTATTGTTAGATTAACATTTCGACCTATTTTTTCAAAATTCAATTCAATTTCATTTTTATATTTTTATTATATAAAATAAATTTTTATATTATATATTAAATTTAAAAAATAGTTTTTATGTTTAACACTTTCACAACCCAAAACTTTTTTAAGAAGAAAAATAAGTAAAAAAAATTGTCCAAATCATTTTTTGTTATTTTTATACCAAAACCCCTTTCTAACCCAAACCGGCCAATAGTCAGTTTTATTTTACTTAAAATAATTAACAAATGAGAACTCAATTACCTTAGATTGATCAAAAATAATCTTTTTGGATGAAATTTCATATCACTTTATTGTGTTTCAACATTTATAATAAAAACGCAACATCATCAATTCACTTTATGACAAACAATGTCAAATAGTCACATTAACAAATCTAACGACAATATAAACACCAATATTGTTATAATCAAACAACAATATACTTTTTATATAAAAAACAACCAAATATATTAAACCATCATTACATACCATTTTTCTTTCTAGTGCTTTGCTCTTGTTTAACACAAATAAACTCAATCATGTTTATTTGTGTGACTATAAAATATACAATTCAAATTTAAGTTGATTAAAAAATAAATAAAAATTTCAAAAATTTGTTTTGTGTATGAAGGCAAAAAAAGGTTTAGGTAAAAGAAAAAAATAAAAACTAATTATTATTACGTTTCTGTTTTGGACGTGTTAAAACGGAAACTTTTATGATAAAAGTTTCCGTTTTAAACAGAAAAAACTAATTTTTTAAATCAATAAAAACAATTTTTCTGTTTTTATAATTATAATACTATTTATATTTAAAAAGTATTATAAATACCAAAATATTAAAGTTTTA